ATGCAGAGTTGATAAAATGTATAACAAAATTAAAACCGAACAACAAATATATCAATATAAAGACATTGAAGGAAAAAACTATTATGCAGTTTAATTTACTCCCTGTTTTGGAAAAATGGAAAATATTCAATTCCCATCTCTTTCCACATCAAAAGAAAGAGCTTATTATGCTGAAACATATTACAAGTGTTTCGAGTCTCCTTGTTCGAACGTATTCCCCAAAGTTGGCGAATGTTTAGTTTCGAATACCAACTATTTAGAATCCTCCGCTATTTCTCTTGAATAACGATTAATTTCGACCGTATTATCAACAGCTATTACAAAGTCCCCCCATTCATCGTCCTGAATGTTCAAGCCGTTCACAACCGACCATAACCAAAACACAAACGACAGACCGTCTAGTAACATCGAACAACTATCTTTAACAGATTCATTCGCATACACAAATTACTTTGCCAATAGTCCAGGAACATTGAACAGACAAAACAAAAAGGGGAGATATTCCCAGAAACTTAAGAAGCCGAAATAACATTTTATTTTCCAAAATTCATCCCAACAATTTTTTCGCATGCATTTCTGCAGGTTCTTTCTAGATGTTCGTGATATTCACCTATTCACACTCGGCCAAATAAACCCAGCTTCTCAACGAAACCGATTAATTTATATGGTGGAGGATCTTTCAGGGCAGATGATAACAATACGGCTCTGCCGAACTCTAAAAACCTAATTCGGTCCCCAGCGGGGCAGACACAAAGTATGTGCACTGCTGTTTCATCATTTTCCAAACAGAGGCGACACACACTGTTTTCCGACAAACCGAGTCTCTGATTCAAATGACAGTGACCTGTAAGAAGACCTACTGTAGTCAAACAACTGTTTGGTTTCAAGCTTCGAAGGGTGAAAGAACGCCTTGGGGTGAACCAGTCCTGGAAGACTCTGCCAGAAGTTCATAAATCTTCTTGCCATTCAGATGTTCAAATTTTGTTGGGCAAAGCCTAGAGCGATGCTTTAGGCATCGCTATAGGCTTTGCCTAAAGCGATAATGTAGTTTTTCGATTTGACTTTCTTTAGTGAATAATTCTTTTTTTTGTTCCAAAGAAGTATAACCTTTGAATGTCAGAAATAACTCAAGGTTGTCTGGAGTTAGATCAAGAAAGAGATCATATTTCTCTTAGTCTTACGATTGAAGTATTGATTGCTCATCTTTCTATATAAATATATAAAGAGATCCTTACATTCCAAATGTTTCCTCCATCAAACCAGAATTTCCACCGCTACTGTTTACTGGCGAGAGCTTGGCTATATCCAATCAAAAATTTGGTTTGATAAAGATTATACCAAAAGTAGCATGTGCAAGACATCACTGATGGCTTTTAGAGCAGTAGGATCCAAATATCGTCTGCACATTTATTGATTTTATGTTCAACTCGGCCTCGTAAGCTTAGTATTTCCAAGCATTGTTTTTTATATTGGTATTGAACACCCTGCAGCCATCCTCGAACATGAAACTCCCACATGTCATTTTCAACAAATCGACAAATTTTCCCGGGTTATTCCATCGCTCGCACGAATTAGCCTTAACGACACCGTAATTCGTAATTAATTTTTTCTCTCTCGCGCGAGCATTACCATTTCGCTGTACGGAATGTACCTGCTGCGCAGTATTTCATAATAATAGAAGTCTGCTTCTACTATATGTAAACCGCATACTTATTTTAATTGGACGCACATGCGGCTTTTTATCGTTCAGAATAACTCTCGAACCGCATTCTCGGCTTCTTCGAGTATTTTTAGGCCGTTCAATTGAATGCGATAAATTCATATTTTAACGGGACAGGGTACAAACGAGTTTTCGTCTACGGATATTCAAGAGTTCCAGAATATGAATCGTAAGGTCAGTAGAATCAAAGACTCGCCGCTTTTTTTTTGGTACCTTGGGAGCTGTCTGACTTGTCCATTTAGTCCAAATCTCCAGAAAACACTGCAGCTTCTTGGGCTCATTGCGTTTGTTCTCCCATCTTCTCATGACATCCATTCCATCAGTCTCGTTCCCTGTACTAGTTTGTACAGGTTCCGTGTTGGATGTTCGTCATATTTTTCTAGACGTAATTTCGTACGTCCATATTGCCTGCCTCCTGTGATTCAGTGCCTCACATTCGCCTTAGATGTATAGTACTGTTTCTATCCCTTCGTTGCACAATCTGCAGCTGAGGTCTCCGTCGTACAGCCTCATTTTATTCAGGTGTCCTCTAAGCGGACAATGACCGGTTAGTAACCCTGTACTTATTCTGAGCCAATCCCTACTATATTAAAGTAGTTCTTCGGTTCTTTTCTCGGACGGTTCCCTAATGAAAGTTCTACTGTGCTTGTTGCCAGGTACTTTTGTCCAGAACTCTGTGTGTTTCTTATTGGTCCACGTCCTAATCTGGTTTCGTACCAATGATTTTGGTACCCCCAGAGCTGGCTCAGGACCTATACGTGTAGTTGATGATCCGTGTCTAGCTTGTGATTCGTAAATGCCCTAGCACCCAGTACAAAGTTGATTTTTTCCTGTTTGCAAGTTCATTCAGTTTTTCATGGCATTCCTAGACCAGTTTTAATGTCACCTTCGAGACTCGCCCCTTACGATTATCTGGAAGATCTAATTATTCGCAGACATTCCAAATATAATACATACTGGTATCACAAATATCTGTGGAGGGTTCCTTTGATGGAAACTTTTTGTGGATAGTTTTCAGAAAGCCATTTTTTTCTGACTTAATCTGGCAAGAAATCACTTTCTATTCCACCTCTGAAAAAGGCATATATTTATGCTCTTTCATCAACGTCCAACTCTTCTAAACTTTGACATCACATTCCTTTTCATCAATAGTCCCCTCTCACACACAGTAATCGTACTGAAGGTAATCTCAATCTCATCAGTCACTACGTCCAGCAAAATCTCTCTTTTTCAAAGCCAACATTACTTACGATTATGCTTCAAATCATTCATGATTACCTAGTCATATGAGCTGAAGGATTTGAAAGTCTCCATACATTCCTGATCCACATTAATTTCCTCCACTCCAAAGAAATGATCCGAATGAAAACGAAAAATAACAACACTCTTGACATAAAATTCTTGACATGAAATTCAACAGTTCCTTCACACATTGCCTCACAATATTGAAAGGAATCTTGTCGTCTTCATCATCTAGCCCAACTGAAGTCCGTTTTGAACTCTCTTACAGATTTCTGAAACCCATCGACAACCACAACAAAACCAAGCAGCTAGATGAACGATCATACCGACTCCCCAATTCAAAGATCTATTCAGGTTCAACATAATCGCAATCCATATTCAAAAAATCTAAAGACTGACTAACAAGATTTGTTCTTCGATATCCCTGATGTTAACGATAAAATAGGCAGAATTCCTTAATACTCACTGAGATGCTGGGTATATACCAATAACCATGTTGTAACTAATACTAAACTTACTTCGGACAAACAAGCAGATGAGTGTCTAACAGGAAATATGAACATGATTTACCAGCCGAAAATATAATGCAGCCTCAGAGCTCTTGAAACATCATCAAAAACCGAGCAACATGCGAAAACCATGGCTCAGGTAGAATGTTTCACACCAGACTAAACCAAGCAGTCGGAATTGAAAATTTCGTGAGCAGCATGCAGAAGCGGTTGTTAATAAATGTTTTTTGCACCTGTCTATTCCCCAGAAGAATTAGAAATTTCCGGTTCTATTACGTAACATTATTCCTATTTTGGGTTGAGCAAACTAATGAAAAAATCTTGATACAGCGACGCTGAAATCGACACCGTGTAACTCGATTCTGAGGGGGCGAAACAACAAGGAAAAGTAAACATCAATAATGACGCCCTAAGAAAATATCATCAAAGAACGTATAAAAATAAAAGACCCACTTTAACGACGGTTCGGAAAAACATAATATCGAGCTAATATTTGCACAGAACACCAAAAAAGCAAAGATTATTGAAGTTCATCCCCAACTTAAAATAATGTTTTCAAATATGCTTCGCAACAGTGGAACTGGATAATTGGTACTTGTCTAATTTACTACTCGGTGCGTCATTGTTAATTTTTTCGAGAAGATTTGTTTCTTTTTGTTCCTTCATGTGCATTAAAACACTAATTAAAAAAATTCAATTGTGATTATTTATTCTTGGAAGGAAGAGTTGACGATTTAATGTTATATTGCGCCATCGGAAGCTTGAGTGAAATTTAACTTGAAAGTCTCTACGATATGTTGGGGTTTCGTGTTGTTACATTTTACTTTTTTCAAAACGAATTCTGGTAGATATTTGTTATGAAAACGGAAATAATTTCTGTATACATTTTTTTATTATTTTTCATTTTCTTGATTTTTTTTAATCATCTTCACCCTTTTTATTTTAATTGTTTACATATCATTGATATTTTACTCATTAATCCGTTTTCATTTCAAGTCACAATAATTTATTTTCTTATCAAATTACTGTTTCACGATAATATTTCTGGTTTTTTAACAGTTTTGATATACCATTCATCCTTTTATTTTTTCTCCATATAGTTCCAATCTGTTGACACATCTCAGAAAGCGGGATTCCAAACCTCTAACAATCATGAAACATTGTCGACCACACTAAATAAATTATCGAGAGAATCGACTCCAGTTCATTTCGAAAAAAATGGTTTCTAAAATCATCTCTCCTTTTTCCCATCACACTGTGCAAAAATCCAGTTTGGAAACGTTTCAATTCCACCAATCCATCGACATAAAACTTACCGATTACCCAAAAAAAAAAGTCGACACTGGTTACTTGGTATATCCCACCGCTGACACCAAACACTTTCAGTGCGCATCTACTCTGTTCCATCCTTCCTTCTCCGTCCCTACGTTCATCCCCACACAACCGCAATATCATGAATAATAAAACATTCATTCAACGACTTCCATAAAAACGTTCTTGGGTAATAAATACGTTCCTTCCTGTTGCAGAGGGAATCAGCTCAGAGGGATGCTGACCGAGAACGTCGCCTACGAGCCGACAGCGAGACCCGGGCCAAGCAGGCGCTCCAGGAGGCGGCCCGCTGCCGGTCCAGGCTCAAGTTGCTCACCAGCGAATTCGCAAGGTAGGTTGATATTTTTAACCTGACGAAGAGTCACGAAAATTATGGTAAAACGTCATACTGATCGAGAATGAAGGAAAAGGTGTTCTTTTAAAAATTTTTAGCGCTATACTATTCCTATTACTCAATAAAATGACACTAAAAGGTATTATTCAGCATTATTTTCATCAAAAACAACTACCTGAACCAACTTTTTTTTTAATGAATTGACATAATACAATTTTAAACTTATATATATACTTGAGCCAGGTTTGCTTTTCATTTCAATGATATAATTTATAACTTTTAACGTGTTAAGAATCACACGTTAACAGGTAAGACCTCGTTAATCCTTAGCCCGCACAAGTTTTGACTTTTGAGGGTTTTCGTTCGTAGGGGTGCGACTGCTGTTTAATGGAAAAAACAGATTTTATCCATCAAGTCCAGTTTCTCAACAAAGCCGAATTGTTCATTTAGTGAATGTTTTTTCAGGACCGATGGCGACAGTGAAATTTTACCAAAACCTGATTCTGATCGCAACAGGGCAGACACAAAGTATATGCTTTGCTGTTGCAGGATCTTTCGAACGTAGACGGAACACAGTTTACTGACAATTCAAATATGATAGTTCAGACGATAGAGACCTCTAAGATCACCAACGTAGACCACATGTAGTCGAACATTTTTGAAGGATGTCTTGGGCCTCTGATGCTTGCAGCTTTCTTCCTGTCAATGAGGAGACTTGTTTTAGCTGGTTTTAGCTGAGTGTCGCTTGGTTTTCCGATAATAATTTTATTGGTTCGTGTATAAGGTTGTCTCTCCACACATAAATCATTGGCAAATATTTCAAGTTGATAATATCGATGGCAATATACAAAATAATACAGACAAATCAAAATAAATTTATGACTCAAAATTAATTACATAAATGTTCCAACCTAAAGAAAGCATTGGCGACTTCGCCAAATTCTATACTATTTTCGAGCTCATAAATATAAAAAGTGAAATAAATGAGTTGGTTGTTGGATAACTTGAAAAGTACGTTTCGAATAATTTCAAACAATCTCCTTCATAACGAATGCATTTGGATTTTTTTAAACAGAGTTGTGTTTTTCAGATTGGTAATATAATGAAGAAATCAAGTTTTACACAATTTCCAACTGAACAATGAAGGTGTTAAAACAACAAAACAGTGACAGTGATCCTCCTTTGAAATATTATTTGTGTATCTATAAAATATTAACCTAATACATTTAGCACTGGTGAAATGTGCAACGTATCAGTTGCAATGTTACAATAGCAAGCAACAATGACTATACAACTCTTCGTAGAGTCTATTTTTGACATATCGATTCGCATTTACCATCGATCCGAAAAACAGGAAACTGTGCCAATTTCGTACTATAGCAAATTATACTTTTCCTTCGTGACCTTAAGACATAATCGTGTCAAAATGTTATAATCCTACACGAAATCGTGTGAAACTATCCATAAGAATTGGGTAGCAGCTACAGTTTATATCGAGGAAATGTGGTGATAATATTAAAATAAAGAAAACGGAATGTAATATATTCCTGAAAAAACATTCCGTTACTTACTATCAACGAAAATTTGTTTTCGAGATAGGTTCCACTGTTTTGTCGTTTTTTAAAATTCTAGATCATCGTTATGGTTATTATTTCACATTTGACAAGGGCCTTCTCCATTGAATGTTATTTTACATATTCAAGTTTAAAAATAATCTCAAAAAGCGAGTAGTTTATGTCCATGGCAGTACTGTCATTCTTGAATTTTCTATTGTTTCATTTCATCATTTAAAATATTCCATTTTTTAAAGTAATTCAGTGGAGTAATACCTATGTTAATTAATCTAAGAATAACAACATTGAAATTGAATATGCAATGTATAGCATTACGGAGATTCAACGTTGAGTGGTTCTTCTGAGATGAGCCACTAAAAAAACTTGGTGAATTTTTGGAATTGAACTATGGACAAAGGCAGTTGGTTTGCCAGAAGTTGTTTAATACTTCAGTTCCGTACTGTAGCATAGAAAAGTTTGTAACATGATATAACGAATGACTTATTTTTTATTTGGAATGAATTTTTAATGTATGATTTCACCACAGACGCGGATTTCCATGAACCATGCCTTTTAATGATGGAGTTGTTTGCCTCAGAATCGGCCAACTCCGTGGTTAACCCCCTCGGAAGCCACCATCAAAATAATGTTCTGGAAAAAATCAATTGATGTTAGTTATGTTTTTATGGTTTTTTTTTCACGGAAAGTATTCTTAAACGAAATTAGCCATAGAAAGAACAAAACATGAAATGAAAATTGTTTACAATCAAATAACTGTATAAAAATGTCTACCTACATATACTTTGAACGCCGATTTCAGATGAAAGCCACGTATTTTTGGGTTATTCAATTAGTTCAGAGTTTCGCAAGTTTTTAAAATAACCTGGAAACTATAAAAGATTTTTTGACATTGGTGATTCTGATAGGTCCTTAAGTCTCATATTTGAAAAATATTTTTGGTCATCTATAGTTTTTTCGTTAACCAGCTGTCGTACCCCTACGAACGACAACCCTCAGAAGTCGAAACTTGTGCGAGCTAAGGATTAATGAGGTCTTACCTTTTAACACAGTCTATTATATCTTATTTAAACAGGTTTTCTTAAATTGTATACGTACTTGCTCTTGAAAAATAATTTACTTCTACTATGCCTAATCTAACCCATCTCGTAAAAATACATTCTGAACTTCTTTAAGTTTAATTAGAGAAGGAAATCGTTTACAAAAGTAGATATTGCAATGTTGTAATCAGTCGAAGAGTTTCAAATTTACTAACGTAATTTGTGAACAAAATATACATATTTCCTTCAAATTATTCTGTCGTACTGAAAAGTTCTACTTTCCGCATGATAAATCATACTCGTGGAAAAATAAATATTCCATCAAAGTCAGTCGCAGATAAACACACAAAAAATTAAACGAATGTTCTCCCAAATCCGAACAGAATAATTCCGATCCGTAGGCAAACCTCCGGAAAATAGACTGCCGAGTTAATAATTCATAGGCAGCCAGAAGACGTTTAGCAAATAACAGTTCAATCATCGCTTCTCCCTATCGGAAAGCAAAACTCGCGTAAATGCCATCGGAAACGAAGCAATTCTCCGAATCGGCATCTCGCAATAAACGGCCATGGAAAAGCGAGACGGAGACATTAAATAGACCAGTCGTAATTTCGAATTTTCCCGCCTCGAGTGCGCTACGAGAGAAAATTTCAATTTCCGCGGAAAAGATAAGGGGAAAATATCTTCTAGTGAGCGGAATACTATTGAAATATTATATTTGTACTGGTTCTGCGCACAATAGAATGCGCGATATAATCAATCGCTGACAGTTGACAGTACGACATTACTTGTTGAACCAGAACTGAAACCGATCGATAGTTTCGCCATCTATGGAGTAAAGTTAAGCATACAAAAAAAACAGATAGATTATATTAGTGAGGTTAGGAGGGAAATTTTAATTGCGCTTCAACGCTGGATTTAGGTATAAATTTTGCCATGCCCTTTTGAGCAAATTTTCGACGTTTAAAAACTTGCTCATGATTCTCATGGCCGGACTATTTTGTTCAAGATAGGGTTGACATTGAAGTAAATCCATTCAGCACAGAGATTTGTAATTATACAGAGATCAGACCTGACTTTTCTGAGCATTTCATTACCAATTGAATACGAAGTCAACTAATGAAGTTGTGTATTTTTGTCGTAATTGAAGTAAATGAAGTTGAGTGTGAAATTTTCTGAAAGTAGGTCGTGATATCAAATCTGTGGTGGTTAAACTTGGTGAGAAATAGTATTTATAAGAAATAGTATTTATAAGAAGTTTTGCTCCGGGTTTTAGCATGTTTCTATTGGTTTGAAGCAATCCGCCTTTACTAGCAGTCAATATATAAGATATCTTCAATAATTGTTATCAGATAATTAAAGTTTGAATTATTTTTGTTGTTTATTGTAACTCAATGTGCCACAAATTGTTGAAATTGTTCATTAATTGTTGAATATTGTAATGTCTACTGTTACTGTAGTGTACACTGTTTCATACCTTTATTTCTTATAAATGACGTCTACATAGTTTTTGGCTGAAGATTTATTGAAAAATCTTTCAAAAAATATTTCTTTGAAGGGTAATGTCCTGAAAAAGTAACACACAGTTAGTAAGACACTAATAAGGATCCACTAGCGATATAATCAATACATTTTTGACAGACTATTTGTTACTCGATCTTCAACAATTCATTACTACTATGGCTAACAAACTATCTATGTTTAAAGGAAAATGATGAAATCGTAAAAATTTACCAAGTCCAATCTGTTCAAAAATGAAATCTTTAAATTATTGACTGAAATCTTCGAAATGGAAATCACTTACAGAAAAACTGCTCATCATAAATGTGATTCATACAGTTTTCTTTAGATTCAATTGTTGTCTGATTTTTATTCCTCTAGAGTAGAGCAGATCCTTAGTATTTTCCTTTTCAATTTTGAGGAATGAGAATGAGAAAAATCAGGCTTACCTACCATTGATTTAACCAATTTTTCTCTACTGAATTAAGGAGCAGTCGATGTGTCAAATTTTTACGAATTTCGACTGTACTATAACAAATTTCAGAGTAAAGAAAGTCGACAGTACATCACTAATGCAGTTATCTTATCCAGCCACCGAACAGGAGTTGTGTCAATTTATACAACCCCAAGTCTCACTTCTCCTTTTATACTGTCGAAGAGAGAGAGTGAGAGAGAGCGCTAAAGGAGCTGGGTTGTCTTTTTGCATTTACATAGATTGCTTGTTATCGCGACAAACAACATGCCGAACGAACAAGATCATCCGTCTTCGTCATAACGGGAAACGCCGGAGTTAACAAGTAAAAAATGACAAGTAAGTCAATGAATAACAAATCAAATTCAGTAGGGAAGTGACGAGAAACAGTTTGGGAAAACAATCACTTTTGGT